ACAATGTTCGAGTTTTTTTCGAAAAGTTTCACATGTTTTGGGAATTTTCATCAACGATAAATAAAATATTTTTGCAACATTAAACACTATAAAACGTACAAAAGCAGGATGCAGCCTTAAAATAACGTGAACAAACTACCCCAACAGAAGTGGATTACAAACACCGATCTCAGCAAGAAAAAAGCAGTTATATAGCACCATTCATATTTAATTTTACGACGACCAGGTACTCAAGCTTATTACTGTTGGAGATTCTGTGTCTCTTTTACAAAAAATTCCTTCACGATCGAGCTATATCAAAAAAATAATTATTAATATAATTTAATAAAAATGAATTTCAGCATTTTTCTAAATTAATGTAATGAAAAAATTACACAAGTTTTAAATGTTGACTATATAAAGCTATATTACAAATTTTATCAATTTATATGAAAATGTGAATTATGTGGACAGATGGTCAAAAACAAAATATCTATTTTCAGTTTTTTTTTATGTGAAAAGTTTCCAAGGGAGCAAGTGGTTCACCTGATGTTAAGTGAATACCACCGCCAATGTACATCTGCTACACCCACGGGTTTGCAGATGCGTTCACAACCTTTTGAATAATGGACTCCGGCTACCTCACTCACCAGACGAAACGCGCAAGTAATATACTTCCACTTTACGCCGGTCTCCTGTGAGGTCGTTGTACTTACCCGGACAAGTCTGCCTATTCGTGCAGCCGAGGCTGCTGCGTGGCACTCCCGCCGTTAAGTGCGTTTTCAGTATTAAATTAGTTAGTTAAACACTACTTTTAAGAATATTACTAGATAAATTTGATAAAAAATGTTATGATGACTTTGGTCCACACATCACTGTAAATGAAAAAGTATGCGATGAAATAATTTTCAGCTATATGCTTTGAAAAATAAACTCACTAAAAGTTATTTTTCGTTTTTACCAGCTTTTTTTATGCGGACAGTAAATGGGTAGTAAATCTTATCCTTTAAACGAGCAATTCTTATATAGAATATAATAATATATTCTTCTCCGATTATATATATATATATATATATATATATATATATATATATATATATATATATATAATCGGAATCTCGGAAACGGCTCCTGCGATTTTCATGAAGTTTAGTATGTGCGTAGATTCGGGGGCGAAAAATCGATCTAGCTAGGTTTAATTTTTAGAAAATGTCCTTTTATCCCTTTTTTCAGGGATTGAAAAATATAATTTTTAATCTTAAGTGCAGAGATTAGCACTTAAAAAACTTTAAAATTTGTATAAAACAATGGCGACATCTCTCGTTCGAATTATCGTTGTAAAACGATATTCAAAATTGTTTGTATGCTGGAAAGTAAGTAATCACGCACTCTTGAAAGCTGAACTTCACTAACAGATTAACGATTGTGTTATCATTGTTCGTGTTGTGACTTTCCGTTTACACGTGAATATCAGTATTTTAACTTTTCAGATGATTCTGTAAAACAAATATTATTACCTCTTATATGTTGTGCGGTTGCATCTTCACCAAGACGTTTAAAACTAGAAACAAATGTAGTTATTCTTTAGAAAACGCCATTTAACCTGAATATACGCAGCAATGAAATTTTGATTTTCCTAAATCGTCAAAATTGTCTTTGGACTTCAATTATAGGTATTGAGTGCACTATTACATGTGCATAGCTCACACACACAGCGACAGTTGCCAAGCGGCGAATTTTAGAATAAACTGACACAACTTGATACTTTTATTTAATTATTAGCCATTAATTTTTTAAGCTTACATTTATATGTTTTCAACGTGAAATGTTCGAGAAAGTAAATACCATTTCATTTTTATTGGACAGTGATTGGTTGGTAAGAGAGTGCTTGCCAAATATCCAGTTTGAAGACCACTTTCAAGTCACTTCATGAATTCTGAATGTAAGATCTCATAACTAACAAGCCGAGCCCAAACTCAACACACATAACTCTACTCGTCTATTAGTTCCAGTATCAGTTTTCGAAGTATACTCTCAGGTCACTCCAGCAAATCCGTAGATATATAACTAACATAACGAGCCGAAACTCGGCCCACCTAGCTGTACTCATTTATTACTTGAATTCCAGCAGCAGACCTCGAAGTACACCTCAAATTAACTCGATCAAGTCTATAATGCTGATAAATGCATTTTTAATGCCTACTATGGTTTTTCAAGTCCATATGCATTTTTAAGTACGTACAAAATGTTCGAAGTATCAATGTGTTATGTCAAATATTTTGTATTTCGACAGCGTTCTTTTTCAAGTCGAGCTATTATAAAAGCGACACATTTACTCACGACGGCGGCCGAGCGCAGAATAATATTTAATTAATTCACATTTCGATAGTTATTTTAGTTACCTTTATTTCTGCTTACGGAAAAAACTAAAATTGCTACCATTTGAAGATAAAACAGTTATCTACTTATTTTTTATTATTTTTTTATTTAGCGGCAGAATGCACCTAAAAACTGCCTATTTTTTTCAGATTTCGCCAGATTTGCATACACCTCCTTAAGCTTAAAAATAGCGCATATAAATAATAAATTTCCATTCTACTCTGAAAGTAAGATATTTTTTTTTTGTGTTTGGGTAAGTAATACTGAAATCAAATCATATTATGCGCAACTTCTGCGTCTCAAGAGGATCTTATATTGAGTTCACAAAGGCCGTATTATAACATAAGCGTTTTACCCTCTATCCTTTAGACAGACGGCCTTGTACAGTAAGACTAATAACATTCAAATGTGACTTATATACATATGATAAGGAAAGTAGAAATATTCCTATATTAAGGCAGAAGCAGGAGACATTATCTGCTATATTATAAAAGTTTATATTAGAAGAAGGCTCTGGATTTCTTCTGAGTAATGTTTCAAAGTAAATAAATATAAATTATAATTTTATTTAAAGTAAATACCTATATAACTACTATAACAGATAAAACAACAACAAACGCTAGGTCGGTTTATGCGTTATATTAAGTTTGATAGACCACAGACCCTCGCAAAACAACGCCAATTCCACCCAGGGATGATTCGCGAGGCTATTGAAATTGAAAAATAGCCTAATTTCAAAAGAGAAGAGAGTTGGGTGCTACCATCAGCTTGGGATCCTATTATTAATAAAATTAAATCTAGCGCAAACGAAACAATACCGCAAGACAAGATAAAATTAGCATGATCTGCGTTGATCAACTGAAAAATTAATAACACTCGGACGTCCAATGCCCAATTCGGGCTCGTGAACATGAATGCCGAAAAGGCTTCGAAACATCGGGAGATAAAACTAAAAGATAAACGCGATAAATCCGTAAACATAGTTTCATTTACTTATGTGTAATCGCGTAAATACAAGAAATTGTAAAATAAATGAATAACATAATAATATAAAGTTAATTTTATAGGAAGCAGATATATTCTGTCTTTTTTTGTCCTCTGTATACATTTTATTAGTCTACGGTGGTTTTTCATTCACCTCTCGCCTGCACGGGAATACCCTTAATACCAATTGCATTACACTGAGTCGAACTATTTTCATGGAGAGCTTTTTACATTTTCCACGCTCGTTTCCTGCGTTAAACATTAACCTGCACGAAAGCCGCAACTGCGCCCGCCTTTGACTCGAATAAAAGCTTTTTTTGTTATTTCATTGCCGTTAAACGCATTCGAACTGTTTGAACAGGCTTGCAAGAATGGTTATCTCTTATGTTTTTCTCGCTCAGTAGAAAGGGACATTCAAATACACGGGCTGAAAGTTTTTAATATTTTACTACGTTGCGTCTGCGGTTTTTTATGACGTGCTGTATACGGATTTTTTTATCCAATGACCTAGTTCGTCTGTGAGTTGTAGAAACGGTGCTAAAACATGTTCCCAACTATTCGCTCGGAACATTTATATTCGCCAGTAAATGTTTCAATGCCCAACTTAATATTTCTATGAAACGTATTGTTAACTATTGTTCTAGTTTTTATTTATAATTTTTTTTAATAATGTTGAACATTTAGACAAAACATGTTTAAAGTTTCCCTTACTAATTTTTCAAGTGATATAAAAATAATTAATTAGGTTAACAATTAAGGACTTTAAAACACTGATTGAAAATAACTTTGGAACAAAGGGCCGAACGTTTTGTAAAAACAGCAATTAAATAAAAGCAAAAAAATCGGCATCCCTAACCAAATACTTCAGCTTTTTCAAAACAACAAAAGCGCTTTACAGTAACGTAAAAGTATAATCGCTTTTTGTCCGGAATAATGAGCATGCTTAACGAAAACAAACCGCGTTGCTAGACACGTAGGGAAGAACTTTGCCTGATAATCATTTTGTTTGGTGTTGTGTTAACGAGGGTCAGTGCCCACTCCATTTACGAGCGCCAACACCGAATGAACAAACACGTACTAGTGTCAGGGTGCCAGTACTAAACTCATAATATAAGCTATCCCTATAGGTAAACTTTATGAAAAAATACTTAAGAAAGGCATCTAAAGTATTTTAGACATATGTGGCTTACGATGTAAGCCATAAAAGACAATGTAATACATTGATTTTCGAATTTTATATACTTGAAACTTGTTAGAAACTATATTTACTTGCTTAAAACTATATTTTTCATCACTCACTCTCACGCGATCCCTCGTTTGATCTCTATATATTATTTCTAAAATGTCTTTTTAGTCAGCGTCTCTAAGCTATAACTTCCATAACTCTGCATCAAATTTATTGGTTAAATAACCATAATTTTAATGCTAATGTTTGCTGGTCTTGAAAATTAGAATTACTTTAGGTAACTATTAATTAAGTATATTACGTTAAAATACTGTTAGCACAAGTTAATATTTAAAATAAAATGTTCAACAGCGTCTTTCATTTATGAAATATTTATTTACATATTATGCTAACATTCTATGACTGATCACGGTACGGTATAAAAAAATTTTACCTTTAAGTTTATCTATATGATTAAAACTAAAACACTCACTTGGATTTACTGCTAACCCTTCTTCCAATACATTCATCGAAAGATGAATGAGAACTAGCAACGTCGCCGAAAGCTGAAACAAATGAAAAAAGGAAATGTTAATAAAATTTACAATGATATCACAATATTATAAAATTGAAAATCTTTGAACAGATAAAACGTAAACATTTTACTTCAATCGCCGAATGGATATTTACATTGTGAACAAAATCTGCAATAAGCACCGGCGGCAGTAGGGTCACGCAGCAGCCGGGCTGTTGCACGAATGGGCAGACTCTTCCGGGTAAGTACCACGAACGTACTCACAGAAGACTGGCGTCAAGTGGAAGTATAATACTTTCGCGTTTCGTCTGGTGAGTGAGGTAGCCGGAGCCCAATTTTCAAAAGGTTGTGAACGCATCTTTGCAGATGCGAGGGAATCGGATCCAGATCGGATCCGGAATCCAGATCGGATGAAGCAGATTTCCATGTGATAGTCAGGTGAACCGCCTGCTCGCTTGGCAATTTTTAAAATATTAAAATGGACGTTAAGGACACGGCGCAATGCAGGACAATGGTATAACACTATTTACTTATGTGAGACCAATACTCTTCTCTGGGATCCTGCTTATTGGTATCCCAGTGAAAGCTGTTGCGTGTAAAGAAAGCACAGCTTACATGAACCTCTGCTGTTAAAATTCGCTAAAATAACCCGTGCTAAAAATACGAGTAAACTTCTAATAACACAAAAATATTTATAATCAAAGTTAAAATAAGTTTAAAAATTACTTATTAACTCTGTATTCACCTTGGAGCAATGTAGATTGCAGTGGAATAAATAAATTTACTTAATATCACTCGACATTGAACAAAATATCTGACTTTAATATAGTTGGTCCAGCAATACTTATTTATCTTTGACTTTAATATAGCTGGTCCAGCAATGATAATTAAAATTAATTACTAGATTAATTAATGTTATATCTTAGTAACAATCTACATACGCATGTATTTGTATGTAAGGCTATTCTAGCGTACAGGCTATGTTATGTGCATGGAAACAGTAATTTGCTTTGCACAAACGACGGAAACATTTTTGGGATGTTTTCTCATGCAAACTCGTTACGCTAGAATAATTTCTGTGACACCTACTCACTGCTTTAGGGTCCGTCTACATAAAAAACTACACAGCCAAGCTCTCGTGTACTATCCAACTACCAAATTGCATTAAAACTGCGCTTTGTGGCCGATATCAAAGGCAAATGAAAATTTTGAATTTTTTCCTACGCCCGAGTGGTAATGGTTTTTGACAGTTTCATCAAGACTCTATATGGATGTATGCGGATTTGTAATAATTATTATTAATAAAGGCTTATAACCACCTTTATGTACAGGTACTCATTCGTTTTTTTTTCAGTACTAGTAGTAGAGCCGAAAGGAGTGTATTATTCTCTTAGTTATTGTACCTTTTTTAAGCTACATTATCTCTGATTATCCGCCTGGATAACATTTTTGCGTATGAGAGCAAACAAGCAGCCTTAAACTCTGTGTACTCGCAAAGAGTCGATTGTATAATACAAATAATTTGAATTTAAAGGCGCGGAAAAACCGAAACATGAAATTTCAATGGGAGTCAAGTCGCACAAAATTTGTAATCCCCAACCTTATATTACAAACAAAACAATCCCGACGATAATCTGCTCTTCAACGCTGCCCGCGGACAAGGGTGGGAAAACATTGGCGTGGATTTTCCCTCATTTGAAATAACAATAGAAATTCACGCTGCGAATTAGCGTTTTTGCATGAATTGCATTATATTTTTAACAAGCTCCCGTGTCCGTCTATAACGGGGTAGTTAGTGGGATAGTGACAGGATTTATTTAGACTTAAGGTAAGCAATGAGCTGATGAGCCTTGTACTGGATTGTTAATTGCATTTAATTAAATCGCATTAAATAAAGTCAATTGGTGTGACCGCTACCAGCAGTCCAGCCATCGCTTGGTGGTTCTATTTAATAATATTAGTATATTATAAGATAGCAAATACAACGTACCAAAAACAATGTCATATCTTAGAATGATCATGTAATTTACAAATATTATAAAAGTTTTGTTTACATATATAATTGCAAGAAACTAAAAAAAATTCTATTCGAATTTATTCCCTTTTAAGATTAATTTATCTTCGCTCTCTTTCTATATTAAATGACTTAATAAATATTAGTGAATTGTCGATACTTTCGGTTATATTGCTATTATAAATCTCCTAAACATCTTATGTAAGATGCAAAATTTAATTTCTTCGCGTAATACATTAGGGAATTATGACTGAACTCTCAGAAAAGTGAGATATTTTATCTTACCCGCTTTTAAAACACCGCGTTAGTTCTAAACAAAGTTCTGAAACATGTGGCTGAATGCACACTAAATTTAATGCAAAAGCTACGATCTAGTTTCGTTTTAGACCAAAGTTAAGGCAAAATTTTCGTTTACAAATTTTGATTTTTAAAACAACTCCATTACATATTTTTTTCACATACAACGTAACTATTTTTATAATTGTTTATTGTGATATATGTTACATGTAGATAACACTGTAAAAGTTTAACATCAAAACACTGCTTTTTAGTACCTATATTTATTACTTTATACCTGAAATGAAAAGTCAGTCATTACTTTATACATCTCCCAAATCGTGTATGATTTACAAAATCTAAATTAAACCTCATATTGTTTCGAAACTCAAGAAATTGTAAAAACCCGTTTATTGGAGCGTACTGTAAACTTTCAGACAGACAGAAAGATGCCGATAACAGTCATCATTAGGCACCAATTATCACTTAAATTTCGGTATTTGTTTTTAAATTACAGATAAATACACCAAATTCATTAATGTTTTATTTGGAATAGCTATGTTATTACACTTATATTTACGATGATTTTAATGTACGTGTGACATTAACCGCAATGTCTGAAAAATAGCTTTCGAAACTACTCGCAATTTCGTTATCTGATATTATGGGAGTATTACCTATAACTAGTTTTATAGGTTCCCTGAATATCTTGGTTCTTCCAGATATACGGGTAATGATGTCCCATGTGGCTTTAGTTCTATTGTTTGAATTTATTATGCTATTTCTTATATAAATAGATTTTGCCTGAATACAGACTTTTTTAAATATTTGTACCCGTTTAAGGAAGTTAGGATCGTGATTCCACTGCCTCATACTATATAATTCATACAATGAATCCCTACTATTGTATATACCCACTGTTGCCCAGTCACTAAATTTTAATTTTGAATTCTTAACAATTGTGCGCGATTTAAAAGTATCATTATAAGAAGATATGAGAAAGTCAACCATTGATCTATAAGAGTCATTAGGGTTATTGACTCCTATATCTTTATTTAACATATGATGTGCCACTTTATCTCTAAAAGCATTTATTCTATTAGTAGTGACTGGTCTACACTTGATCTTAAGTTTGCTTGTATTAGCTTTTTCATTTATTGAAAATTTTAGCCCAAAGTGATCCGAGACTCAGATAATTTATAACATATTTATCATATACATCACTGTGACAGAATACATTATCTATACATGAGGAGGATAAGTTAGTAACACGAGTTGGTTCATGAAAAAGATTTTTAAGTTCAAATGAGTTAAATAAATTTAAAAGTCGTTTACTGGGTTGTGTTACTTGTAATAAATCCACATTAAAATCTCCACAAACTATTAATGATTTACTACTTGAACATAGTTTTTTAAGAACATCATCCATTACACACTCAAACTGATCGAAATCACCTGAGGGGGGCCGGTATACGCATACTATAATATACTGTTGACTATCAACGCAGGATAATTCAATAGAACGTTCGACAGAGTGGTGCCACTATATCCTGTCGATTTTTACAGACTATATCAGTTCTAACTAATACAAGAGAGCCACCGCGAATAGCATTTACTCTTACGAACGAACTTAACAATTTATAATTTTCTATATTAACAATATTACAGTGCTTATGTAACCATGTCTCTGTGAAGCAGATGACATGTATATTAAATTTCCTAAGGAACAATTCAATTTCGGGTTCTTTGTCGCCTAAGCCTTGTATATTTTGATGCACATTACTTAATTTGAGTGGCCTAGGCGTTGTCTCAATGTTTAGTTTAAACTAACATAGTTTGCTGAAAGATTATTACATAATAAAATATTCTTAGTTGTACTATTTACAACTGGGTTTTGTATATTATATGCTACTAGAGTAGCAATTAGTTTCTTATAATATAGTGGCAAATACAAAGTATTTTTTGTCACCTTAAAACTAGATTTAATAAAATTATTTAAGTCAAAATAAAAGAAAGCGTCACTATGACGGTGAGTTATGTTATATATAGTCATGTTAAGACTATATATGTATTTATTTTGTTCCTCTGAAAGGAAAGAGGAATATGGAAATGAGCATAATATAAATTTGCACTTAGTTTTATAATGTAAGTTGAGTAATATTTCCATATTATTAACAATTTCCTGTTTCCTTACAGATGAACTATCCCCATGAAGTAGTACAATAGTACTATTCCCATTTAAATTTAATGTCAATAATTTGTTAATATTGTTATGAAAACTGGCACCTGGTGAACATATATTATGTACATTATTTACATGTTTGGAAAGTAAAAAACCAAAACCTTGTCCTATATTATCCGATAAAATTATAACTTTATGTTTATTATTGGAGATATATATTATATTTATTAGATTGTTTAGATTGTATATTTATTAAGTATTTGTGAATATTATAGTATATGTATTCTATTTTGTATGCTTAAATAATGTAATATATTTTTGTTATATTGGGTTTAATATGTTTATATACTTTATATATTTTCATGTATATGTCTTAAATTTATGTATATATGAATATATATATATAACTTTTGTTTTAAATTAAAATTTGGTTTCAAACTTTTTACACCTGCCTCTTTTGTCTCTGCGTCGCCCATAGGTTGACTGGTAGAGAATGCCTTAGGCATTAAGTCCGCCTATACAC